CAAAAAGTTATATCAAAAGTTAAACTAAACCAAAATATGTCCAAAAAATAACTACTCTTAACCATTTTCAATGGTTAAAATAAGCAGTTAATATAAAGTTATCTAACTTCTAAAATAACCTACTCTCTAAAAATGAATTAGTCAAAAATGACTAATTTAATAGTTATTAGTGGCTGCTTTTTCATTTGTATCATTGTTAACCATGGAATACCATAGTATTCCAAAATACCAAAAATGTCGTTAAAGTTAAAAAAGTAGAACAGTTTTTGAGACATAGTCAATTTTCCATTTAATATGGAATTGACTATATCTCAAAAACTGCTCACTTTCATAATTGTTGACGTTATTTTCGGATTTAGGGCACAATTTTACATAAGAAGTAAATTTTGGGATACCATGGTATTCCATGGTTAACGATGGTACAAGTGAAAAAGCAGCCACTTATAACTATTAAATTAGTCATTTTGACTAATTCATTTTTAGAGAGTACCTTTTATCTAATATTACCGACTAGTTAATAATTTGGTTTATTTAGGTTATTTAAAGAGTTTAAATTGACTATATATTAACTAGTTGGTAACATTACCAATAGGTTTCTTTTATTAGTTAAATTATACTAAAAAATAACCTTTATACTTACCTTAAGATTTTAGCAACCGGTTGGTAAATTTAAAGGGTTATTTTTTAGTTCATAGTAAGCTTAAAAAAATGTTAATTGGTTAAATACAACTAATTGGTTAAAAACCAAGTTTAAAAAAACGTTATTTTACTTTTGGTTAATTTACTTAGAATGATTTTTAAAACTTTGAAAATTTGTCCTATTATTTTTTATATTCATACCACTTTGCGAATTTTCCACACATTTTTTGATTTTGAAGGAGTGCGAATTTGTCCTACCGTTTCTTAAATTTATACCTACCGGTGTGGCTAAAGCCTCAAATCAAATCAAGTTTTTGTAGAGCATTCCATAAAGCTTAGCCCACTAAACATTTCGATAAGAAATGGAATTTCCATTTCTTATCGAAATGTTTAGTGGGCTAAGCTTTATATTTATTTGTTAGTGCGATACAAAATGTTTTTCATAGAACTAATGTGAAAATGTAAAATTATTTTACTTTCAATAGTAAAAGCTTATTCGTAGATCTTTGAGGTGTTCAGCAACCAATTTTTTGATATACATAAGTCAAAAAAAGTTGTTTTTTTGAATTACCCTGGAGTACATAGACCTCTATAAGGTCCATGTACTTGATATATGTATTATTCATATGGCATATTTGCAATAAAATCAAAAAATAAAATAACTGTTTAATTATATCATAATTAATTAAGTTTCCAATCAGAAGTAGAAATTTGCGGCATTATCATGATAATAATGAAAGTGGGGTTGACACTTTCGTGGCAATTAGTCCAAAAGATATATCAATAATGTTGCATTTTTCTCCAAACAATTCGTGTGTAATATAAATAAAATTAATAATAATTATTATTATAAAAGTAAAACAGTCGCTTTCTAGAACGATTTTTCCATCATGCAAAAGATCATAACGGCCACATCCTATGTAATTTATGCTGAAAACTTTTTTAAGATTCACGAGACTAGAATTTAACACTTTCCCTTGTAAAATATAGAAATTATGTAAAGATCCGTGGTATTTAGTTTTTAAGAGACTTAAGACAAAGTTTTATGCAAATTAATTAGGAATGTTTATGCGTTTTTTTCTTTGAATATCGTTAACATATCTTCTATATTAGTCAAAGAACACACGACCACAAAAAATTTAGTAAAACTTGCTTCCTTATTAAAATATGTCAAAAGTACAAGTTTTTTATTAGTTTTTGTTTTTATTTTGAATTTAAATTAAAAATGTACCAGCAAGCCTATATTTTAAATATTTGGATGATTTAAATTATTTAGGTACTTTTTAATTTTAAATTTAAATTAGGTATTTTTTAAATTTAAGCGAGGAGGTTAATATGCTTTGTTGTGCCGTGTACTCCTTTTTAAGCAAATAATAATTCTGTACTTACATTAAAATTATCGAGTTTTGAGACATTTTGTCAGGTTTGACGTTTGACAATGTCAAACGTCAAATTGACATATGTAACATTATAGGTTATGTACATAGCAAGATAAAAAAATATTTTTGTGAAACAAAAAATAAATTTGGAGCAGAAAACTTTATTCTAGCCTTTCATGACATTAAATAAAATATATTTGTATGACAAACCATTTTATTAAGTTTATCTTTATTAGTTTGAATGATTTTTTTTCCAATTCAAACATTGATTTTAAGATTATACTTTTTCTTAGACTGCCAAGATGTCTGAGTTGCCTACCTTTCCTTTTCTATTTATCTACATCTATAGATTATTAGATAAAAAGGAATTTTATATTTTATAAATATCACGACATTTTTTTGGTAAATTAGTCTTTATCCCATTTTTGCAACAAGGAAATGGACTATTAATACTAAAAATTAACTTTTCTTAAAATCTAGGATATATGTATGTACGCACAATCCACATGGATTGTGTATGTACGTATAAATTTAGTTTTTAGTAGTACGTACAGATGGCACTAAAATCTAATTTTATCAAAAAATGGATATTTTTTAGAACAAATTTAGGTATAAAAATGGTAAATTTCTTAAAATATACTTTTTTGCAAACCATTATTGCCATATTTTAAAAAAATATAAAAATGGCACATTCGCCATTTTTGCAAAAATAATAAAAATCGTAAAAAGTCGATTTCTCATGTTAAACTGTTTGAGTAAACGCTTATAAGAGAAAGTAATTGTAGTAGAGTTAGAGGAGTCAACTGTCAAATTATACGAATTTTACAGAAAAAAAACTAAATCTAAAATCACTTTTATAAATAAAACGAACAATATTTTTATAAAATTTATTTTAACGTAATATAAACCAGGCATCAACAACATATAACAAAAATTAAAATATATACAGGCATTACAAACTTGACATTAATAAATAAATATACAGGCTCTTTAATCTTAAATACTGCATTAGAAATATTGCACAAAATCTTTCTATCAAAAATAATAATAATAATAATAATAATAATAATAATAATAATAATAATAATAATAATAATAATAATATCTTAAACAACTAATTACTGACAATATCAAACGTCAAATTGACATATGTTACATTATAGGTTATGTACATAGCAAGATAAAAAAATATTTTTGTGAAACCAAAAAAAAAATTTTGGAGCAGAAAACTTTATTCTAGCCTTTGATGACAATAAATAAAATATATTTGTATGACAAACCGTTTTACTAAGTTTATCTTTATTAGTTTTTGTTAAATGATTTTTTTTCAATTCAAACATTGATTTTAAGATTATACTTTTTCTTAGACTGCCAATATTTCTGAGTTGCCTACATTTCCTTTTCTATTTATCTATATCCACAATCCATTGTGATTGTGTATATCTATAGATTAATAGATAAAAACGAATTTTATATTTTATAAATATTACGAAATTTTTTTGGTAAATTAGTCTTTATCTCATTTTTGCAAAAATTAACTTTTCTTAAAATCTAGGATATACGTAAAAATTTAGTTTTTGAGTACAGATGGCACTAAAATCTAATTTTATCAAAAATTGGAAATTTTTTAGACCAAATTTTGGTAAAAAATGGTAAATTTCTTAAAATATACTTTTTTGCAAACCATTATTGCCATATTTTTAAAAAATATAAAAATTGCGCATTCGCCATTTTTGCAAAAATAATAAAAATCGTAAAAAGTCGATTTGTTATGTTAAACTGTTTGAGTATACTTTTATAAGTGGGAGTAATTGTAGTAGAGTCAGAGGAGTCAACTGTCAAATTATACGAATTATACAGAAAAAAAACTAAAATCACTTTTATAAATAAAACGAACAATATTTTTATAAAATTTATTTTAACTTAATATAAACCAGGCATCAACAACATATAACAAAAATTAAAATATATACAGGCATTACAAACTCGACATTAATAAATAAATATACATGGTCTTTAATTTTAAATACTGCATTAGAAATATTGCACAAAATCTTTTTATCAAAAATAATAATAATAATAATAATATCTTAAACAACTAATTACTGACAATATCAAACGTCAAATTGACATTTGTTACATTATAGGTTATGTACATAGCAAGATAAAAAATATTTTTGTGAAACCAAAAAAAAAATTTAGAGCAGAAAACTTTATTCTAGCCTTTGATGACAATAAATAAAATATATTTGTATGACAAACCGTTTTATTAAGTTTATCTTTATTAGTTTTTGTTAAATGATTTTTTTGAATTCAAACATTGATTTTAAGATTATACTTTTTCTAAGACTGCCAATATTTCTGAGTTGCCTACATTTCCTTTTCTATTTATCTATATCCACAATCCATTGTGATTGTGTATATCTATAGATTAGTAGATAAAAACGAATTTTATATTTTATAAATATTACGATATTTTTTTAGTAAATTAGTCTTTATCCCATTTTTGCAACAAGGAAATGGACTATTAATACTAAAAATTAACTTTTCTTAAAATCTAGGAAATACGTATAAATTTAGTTTTTGAGTACAGATGGCACTAAAATCTAATTTTATCAAAAAATGGATATTTTTTAGAACAAATTTGTGTACAAAAATTGTAAATTTCTTAAAATATACTTTATGCACGATGACATTATAATATGACAATTATAACAAAAATTCTTTGACGTAAACGTCTTTTTATAGCCCGCGGGCGTTATTATGGCCCAGCGGGCTATAATGAAACGTCAAAAATTAAAAACAACAATGTTACACCATTTGATATATTCGAAGTAAGTTTTTTCGTATAAAGATTTTGATTATTCCGGCAGCAGGTTAGGAGTTAACTGTCAAATTATACGAATTTTACAAAAAAAAAAATCTAAAATCACTTTTATAAATAAAACGAACAATATTTTTATAAAATTTATTTTAACGTAATATAAACCAGGCATCAACAACATATAACAAGTATTAAAATATATACAGGCATTACAAACTCGGCATTAATAAATAAATATACAGGGTCTTTAATCTTAAATACTGCATTAGAAATATTGCACAAAATCTTTGTATCAAAAATAATAATAATATCTTAAACAACTAATTACTGCAAAATTTTGTCGGATTCATAATTTTTCTTCACCACCACACGTTTCCTACTCCTCAAACGCCTTTTGTGGAGGTTTCTGGGCGTTACGTATGTCACAGGTGCTTCGGTTTGTTCGTAACCGCCTTGTTGGTATTTTTGGTAGTAAAACTGCTGGGCTTCGTACTGTTGGGCAGGTTGACCGTAGGTTTGTTGCGGTTGCACTTGGTGCTGAGGTTGGCTTTCGTACTGTTGGACAGGTTGCCCATAGGCTTCTAGAGGTTGAGCAACTTCCTGATATTGCTGTTGATCTGGCACCACGATGGGCTGGCCGGAGTAATGCTGGGCATCCTGGTACTGTTGTTGGGGTTGTTGGTAGAGTGCCTGGGGTTGTTCGTACTGCTGTTGGGCAGCCTGTGCGCCTTGTTGGTAGTAGTAGTATTGTTGCTGGTCGTATTGGGCTTGTGGTTGCTCGTATTGGGCTTGTGGTTGCTCGTATTGCGGTTGTGGTTGTTCGTACTGGGCTTGTGGAGTGTATGGGACTTCGGAGGATTCCACCTTGACTTCCTGAATGCCTGGCGGTACGTGTACGTTGATTGTTTTGGTGAGGGTGTCGTCCTTTTGGGATTCTCTGATGCCTCCGTGTTGATTCTTGAATATTACTCTTGTATGCGCGCTACTGGGGTAGTTTTCGTGGGTTAGCAATTGGGATTTTGGTGATTCGTATTGGTAACCTGGTTCGGCTTGTGGTTGTTCTTGCTGGTACACTTGCTGCTGCGGTTGTTCATATTGTTGTTGTTGATATGCTTGTTGACCCTGTTGCAGATAATTGCTCAACAACGACTGAATATCAAGCGAGTTGATATTAGCTGCGAATGGATGGGATGTTGGTAGGTTAGCATGAAGGCTTCCATGTGGGTCGTTTAATTGATTGGGGAGCACCCTTAGTATAATAACTGGAACCTGAGGGTTGTGTCCACCTTGCGTGTCTACAGGAACATTCTGACTTAATTGGCCAATGTGTCCGTTTTGATCCAAAGTGGAGTACAGTCTGGTACCTGGTAGGTACATCTTAGAGGGTGCATTATTTACTTCGGTATACTTTTGAGTCGGCAAAGTGTAAGAAATGCTTTTCTGCACGGTATAACTGCCGCTGAATAAATTGTTGGACCCCTTCCATGCCGGGATGTCGTGCTGAGAATACTTGTACACTTCGAATTTGGGTTGTTGGTATCCGTAACCTAGCGACGATTCGATGGTTCTCTTTTTGTTTCTCGACGATGTTTTGTTTTCGTTGGGATCGACGATTTCTATGGCAACAATTGCTGATGGAACTTTCTTGTGCTTCGATTTTGTTTCCAATTGGTCTTTTGAAGATTTTTTCTTTGATCTTGCATCGATCGTGCCAAGAAGGCATATCACAACAACCTAGAACAAATAAAAAGAATATTAAATTTAATTTAATAATAGTTATTTATGTATCAAGGCAGTAAAGTGATAAAAAATGACTTTAATTTGATCCGAAATCATATTTAATAATACTAATAATTAATATTGAGGATTAAATCAAATGTCTTTTGAATGTAGGAAGTGTCTACGTTATTATATATACAGACTGTATAGAATCAAGTAAGTAAGGCTGGAGACAAGGATGACAAATTACAGCCCGTTCATAATAAAACCGAATATATCTATATATATGGGGCGTGGCCTCGCCTCCCTCCAAGGCGCGTCACAGTAGCTTGTGTGATAAACGACATGACGAAAGGTCGAGCAGGTAAGGACTTAATAAATTAAATGATAATAATGCAAAAAATCTCATTCTATTTGCTTAGCTACTGTGTCGCGCGTTGGAGGGAGGCGAGGCCACGCCCCATATATACACACATGTCCAAAAGTTTGGAATACTTACAAATAATATATCTACGCCTATGTTAATATTACTAATATTACTCTATTTTCTCTGTCTTTGAGGTTTATTTATTATTGGTCGGAGTCGTTATAAAATGGTATTTACCTCTATAAAAAAATATATATAAATATCAATAAAAAAAGAAATATTGCAATATTTCAAACTTTTGGACATATGTGTATATAGATATATTCGGTTTTATTATGAACGGGCTGTATATTCTGATCAGAGAAAAAGAAACAAACTTTAATTGGGCGTGGTTTAAACCGCCATTCGTAATTACGAACCATAGTTGCCAGGTTGTTTTAAATAAGAAGAGAACGATTATAATTATTTAATAAATAGTTCAATTTTATTTATTTGAAACTTTAAAAATAACAAAAAAATTAATAATATGTCAAAAATAATTTGATTTAGTTAATTTTCTTACGTTTAATATTAAAAAATAAGAAAAACACCCCTTTTAGGAAACAATAATAGCATATGACAACAGCGCGGCATGCAGTCAGATACAAGGGCATGCAGCCAGATACAAGGGCATGCATGATGCAGTTTGATCTACTGTGTTCAGTAGCTCCGACGCTGTCGTAGGGAAATTTGTATAGTTTTTAAGAAATACATTTTCGCCATTAACTGGAATTTAATGGATTTTAAACAATACTTGGTTTTTATTTGCAGAAATGCATTAAAACAAAACAAACGAATTCGATAAAAATAAAACCTATAAATTCTTGTGGGCGAGGTTTGGCACTTGTTTTATTTAAGTGTATCTATTCGTTTTAATACACACTGTATTTGCCCGCCGCGGCGATTTTTTTTATCTAATTAATAAAATTAACATATTATTTTTATTAAACAACATTTTATGAAAGGGTCCAATCGACCTCCGCGATGGTGCTTTTTTAAAATATTATTTAGTTGCTGGTGAGGAGCAGTAGACACATCTTAAAATGTATAATGGGTTGCATACAATACTCGCATTAAATCGACAGTAAAGCTCTACTTTACTGCCGATTTCGGATAAAAGTATTTTTTACACATAGTTAAATCTGCTTTTTATTAAAAAGGCAAATTCGCAGTTTTGTATTATAATTTGACGGCAGTATAACTTCCGGAATTATATTTAGAGACAATAAGGGATACCACATTTCAATCCTGTGAAGAAACCTCCATTGTTCTTGAAAACAAACCAAAACAAATTGAATACTATTATTTACATATAGCATTATGAATTATTTTGCATTATTTAATTTTTGCCAGCTGTACCTATTATTATTTTATAGGAGAATGTAGTGTACATTCACACACAGTGATATGAGATGTATTCCTTTCACGAAGTAGATGAATAATAAATGATGAAACCATCAAAATTTTAATATACTTTTATAAAATTTAAATGAGGTTAATTAAATTTAAAAACCGTTTTAATAGCGAACAGGGTCATTTTTAATGTCATGGAATCAAATTCCAAATAAGTGATCTAAATGTCAAATATAATTTTTCTATTTAATAATTTTAAATATAAATTTGATTTGGGAGAATATGGAATTTTATAATTTTAGTTTATAAATTATTACTTTTTGAGGTGTGCTCCAATTAGGATTTGTTTTTTTTAATATTCAACATAAGATTTGTTAAGGATGTGCTTATACAAAATTTCTAATTTTATTTCGTCATTTTTCTTAATTAGACGACAACTAATTTGAATAAATTCCGTATAGTTCTTATCGATTTTATAATTAAAAAAATATGATGTTTACGTTAATTCCTACAATTGATGACATTGATCTACGACGGTTTGCCACATAGAAAGTGAACGAAGTATGGGTGAAAGTACCAGCAGCGGTATTAAGCAGATGCGACTTACTTACGTAATTCCGTCGATTTATAAGCGATTTTAGCAAAAAAGCGATTAATTTCACTTTTTGCAAAATTAATGTTTTGTTTCAATGTCAACTATGTTTAGAGAGTCAATTGGTTATCATTGTGGAAAATTTGTATCAATTTAAAAGGCATAATATGTGTGAAATGTAACAGGCGGTATTTTCGATCTTATTTGAAAGTCTAGACGTTGACAGATGTTAAAACCAAGGCCTTTGGGTCAGAATATTATCAACATAACGTTATTTTAGCAATATAACGTAATCCTAAAACCATGGTATATGCATACATATATGGTTAAAGTTAAACCATTTAATAAATATGTATATGGGTGAATCTCACGAAATGTGGTGTTATCCCGTGATATTTAATAAAACTAAATGAGTTTGACCTACACTTTTATTGTGTTTTGATCTTTCATAATTAAGTAGATATTCCAGATTTTTAACCGCAATTAATTATTTTTACAATGTTTTAAAATTCTTAAACCTATCCTCCGTGACTCTTTCTAGATTCACCTATATGTTTTCAAATATCTGAGGTAGTAAAAGCATACTAAAAATATCAGTTCACTAAGTAAATTAAACACATCCAAAGCAATCGAATCAAATATAAAATATTATTAAAAAATAAAAGAAATATTTTTTATAACCAGTAGGTGTTACAAACATTGATTCTATCCTCCATGAATCTGTTTTTGCTTTAAATTTTATGCAACGGATGGCGCTTAAATCATTTTAAATAAGCAAAAACCTCTGTTTACGACATTATAGATGCATGTGATTCCTGAAGGTCAGTTAGAATTTACATATATAAATAAATAATCATTTTCACTTGGGGGACATCTCAATATATTCACCCATATATATGAAATAATTTATTATTTTATCATATAAAATTAATTGACAAAAATTTTTTAAACATTAAAATAATCAAGTCTACAGGGTGTTTACGTGTAATAAAAGTTAAAAAACTTTGAAAAAAGCATTAACATTGTTTTCTTTATGAAACCGATATTTTTTATTTGATTTGAAACATTGAAAATTGTGTTGAATACTTTTATATTAATAAAATATATAGAGACCGTATTTATATCAAGGAATTGTTTTAAATTGTTAATTTTTTTATACTATTATACTTATTTTCACTTTTATGCAGCTATGTTAATCATGAAATTTTTAATACTCGTATACCTAGTCCCGCATTTCCTCTTTGAACCATTTCGATATTAATTAATTTATGATTTCCGCATAAAACTCACTTTATAAACATTGAAGAAGATTCATTGGCTGCATATTAGGCATATTTAATGAAATTAGTAATGAGACTACAAAATATTATAAAAACAATGAACAATTTTATACACGAACCGTACTTTCAGAAAATTAACATAAATTTCCGATTTATAAAATTTTTAATTTAATTTTAGAACTAACGCGGATAATTATTTATAGTTTTGACAAGCAACCTAAAAACAATATTTACTTTCAAAGTGCAATAATATTATTATTTTGAAATATATACGAATATAAATAAAGATTTGATTGTTTTTGGTCGTTAAAATTATGATATAAACTATTAAATTGTTTAGATATTAAATTGGAAAAAGCAATACTAATTAATTTACTTTTTACTCACTTTTCTATTTATTAAAATTTAATTTAATGATGTTTTATGTTAATTTTTATGACATATGAAAACACAAAATAGTATAAAATCATAATAGTTTGCATTAGAGAAAGGCTTTAACAAAAGTGATTATAATTAATCAAAATTCCTTTTTATTTAATATATATATATATATATGTATATTAGGGTGCTTCAAAAAATAAAAAAAAAATTCCAGCGCTGTTTTTATTTTAGTTTCCCATTTAATTAACATGGGAAAAAATAATTTTATTTTTGGAATTTTGTACCTCTGTATCAAAGTAACTTATGGTAATAATCATTGCAGTTTCTTATATAAAATGTAACTACACGCTCTACAAAAAAGGTCTCCTATTATTTTTCGATAAATTGATTTCTTCTAGAGTTATTCAAGGTCAAAGTTTGATGAACATCAAATTTTCTGGTTTTTTAAATTTTATGGCACAATTAGCAGACGAGAGGTGAAAGGGGGCAAGTTCACGCTTTTAATCGAAAATAATTAATCTGAGCCTGTAGAGCGAGAAAGGATGGTACAATTTTGGAAAACTTTTCATATGATCATTTTTTGGGTACCCCATTTTGCCCCCCCCCGCTGCCTTATATTGCCCCCTTTCACCTCCTGTCTGCTACCATAAAATTTAAAAAACAGAAAATTTGATGTTATCAAACTTTGACCTCGAATAACTCTAGAAGAAATCAATTTATTGAAAAATAATAGGACACCTTTTTTGTAGAGCGTTACATTTTATATAAGAAACTGCAATGATCATTGCCATAAGTTGATACAGAGGTATAAAATTCCAAACATAAAATTATTTTTTTCCATGTTAATTAAATGGGAAACTAAAATAAAAACAGCGACCTCTTAGAGTTGAGCTGGAACGCTTATATTTGGTGAGGATTTTTTTTATACTAAATAGAAACATTTGAGAGGGTAAGAGCGAAAAAAAAATTAAATTTTATTTTTTGAAGCACCCTAATGTATATA